CTGCACCATTGCACCAACCCCTCACTAATGATGACGTACCATTACAATGTATCGCTGGTTGGTGGCCATGTTTGCGTGTTTGCTTGTTCGTTATTGGTATCTCCACCGTGTGCCTTCTTCTGTCTCTTATTTCTTGTTATTTTCGGCCTGGTCCCTTCTTCTCCTCGATCTTTTTCATTTAATTTTCTCTTTTCCTTACAGTTTCCTTTTATTTTCTTCTCTTTTTCCCTGTTTTCTTTTTTTTTCTCTCTTTTTCTGCGCCAGATGGCCTTGTCTCTGCTTGCGTTGTGAAGTACCAAGATTAAACCAAGGGGATGTACCTCTTTCTCTCCGGCCCCTGATGGTGACTCCTAGTCTCAGTTGGGTTAGAGCAGAGGGAGTGGAGGACTCCAGAATGTCTGTCGTTGTTTCTATTGACTTGCGGACCCGTCGGGGCCAGTTTATTTGAGTGTACCTTTTTAGGGTAAGTTAGCCTGCGACCACGGGAATCGACCGCGTCGAGTGTTGGATCAGTACGGACATACGAAGGTACTGGGTAGAGAGAGATCGGAACGGTTTTTAATAACAACAACAACCTTCTAGCACAGAACCAGGCGCCCTTTTCGCGTCAAGTGTTGCAGCAGAACTGTAGTGTACCCTTTCGTGGTCTGCTGCGGCACTCTGGCGGGGACGGGGTGGAGGTTTGTCAGGGTACAGTACACGGAGGGTTGAACGACAAGGTATGACGCTGAAGAAGAAGACGACGACGACGACGACAAAAACAACCCGAAAGCCAACAGTTACAACAATAACAACAGCAACAGTTACAACACAACAACAGCAACAGCTACAACACAACAACAGCAACATCAACAGTCACAATACCAGCATGGCTAGATCATGTAGCACCACCTTTGCATTAGCCGCTGCATCTGCATACCGCCGCCCTCCCCCCCCCTCTTTCTTCTCCTCCCGACTCGTTCGTACGTTCAGGGATCCCCCTTAGTCTCACCGTGATCATCATGCACCATGACGCAAACATGGCGGCCCGTTTCTTGCGCAACCGCTCCGACACCCGAGCGTTTTCCCTCTTTACCCGGCCTACGTTCTGGATGGCAGCATCGCCCGTGTCTTCCAGCACCTAAAAAATGTTGTAGAACGCAAAAAGGAAGGAAAATGCCGGGGTGTTCCCCACGGAACATGAACGGGCGATCTTTTCATAACAACACCAAAAACAAAAGCGTGCGTGGGGCGAGAAGTTTCGCACGTCACTAGTTATTGCTAAGGATACCGTTTGCGAGAAAGGAGGTTGCTTTAACTTTTGAGATTGTCATCTGTCATATGGTACTTTCTGACTTTTGTTGTTAAGGCCAACCGTTGTTGCGCTCTGGGTGTGCCACGCCACCGAGCTTCCTGCTTCGGTTGAGGAACAAGATTTAGGGTCGAGTATGTAGACGTGATGCGACCGCAAAACCGTCAAACGTTGCCGTGTGGGTGAGCCTTCCCCTATAGTACAGGGCGCGCCTTCGTGGACCGCAAGAAGAAACCAAGCTTAACAAGGGTGTGATGATCAACCGATCTTGATCTTGACTGATCTCGAAAACGCCCGAAAGAGCACCTCAGCGATCACACACGAGATGCGTGACACGAGTGGGGAAAATTTCCGCAAGGAAAAACCCTTCAAACAGTTACCGCACAGAGTAGCGGTTGGGACTCGTCCCCAACAGCACATCATGCAGTCTACCTCCGCACGCCTTCTCCCCCTAACAAAAAAAAATAAATCGGAGGAGGCGGAGAAACCGACAAAACAGAAAGAGGTGGGTCTTGGATTGCATGCATGATTTCCTTGGGTGGACCAGATCGCACGTGTACCTTTGTGGCAGGAGACGATTTTCCCTGAACACATTGAGCACCAATGAATGAGACAAGACGGACAGTAGAAGAGCTGTGCTGTGCGTTCGAAACTTCGCGCGACCTGTCTGAAACTGACGGAGCTAAAATGTTACCCTTCGTTCTGGGGGTCCGTCCGCCCGTCCACACAAATATACCTGGGTCTGCGTCCTCAGGGTCTGGTTGATAGCCACGCTGGACTCCTTCAGCCTCCCAGCCATGCTAGATATCTCCTGGGCGACCTGGTCCGCCTCAGCCTCGTCCGCGGCCCGCTCCCCCCCCCCCCCCCCCCCCCCCCCCCCCCCCCCCCCCCCCCCCCCCCCCCCCCCCCCCCCCCCCCCCCCCCNAGCCTCCCAGCCATGCTAGATATCTCCTGGGCGACCTGGTCCGCCTCAGCCTCGTCCGCGGCCCGCTCCCCCCCCCCCTCCGCCCTCCCGCCGCGGCGCCGCCCGCCAAACACCCCGCCGGAATCATCTTGGCTGCTGTCTTTGGTATTCCGGCCGCGCGACGAGCCTCGCGCCTCCCTCCTTCTGACAACGCGGTCACCATCTTCTCGGGGGGTGAAAATAGCACCGCCGACAACGCCGCCAGTCGCAGTCGCTTGCTGCTGCTGCTGCTCCGAAGGATCGGTTGCTGCGGAGTTCTTCACTGAAGCGGCGGCGTCGGCGGCGGCGGCCTCAGACGCGAGATCGTCTCGCTTGCGCCGCAAAATCTCGAGGCGTCGGTCATAGTCAGCGAGATCCTCCGCGGCTGGGGACGCTGGCGACAAGCCGGCGCCGGCTCCACGGGAAACCTCTGCCACCTTTGCTTGCAGCTGAGACTGCGTGCTGTCCAGCCATGTGATGAACTACGGGTGGAGGAGTCAGCAAGCGGCGGCGGCGTAGCGGAAGGGGAGTGGGAGTGGGTTCCAGAAGGAAAGAGAAGGAGAGCGGGGTTCTCTGTCCCTTTCAGCTGGGGCCTGAGATGGACGCGGTGTCGACGCCTGTATCACGGCAACAAGCTCGCCGGGAAACAGCAATCGGTGGTGGTGCCCTTGTGCGTGAGCGTGGGTACATGGTGCGGAGTGTCTTCCGGATACTACTCCGTATGGGCAGAGCTGAGAGTTCTCGGAACAATGTATACAGAGAAGCGTGTTTTGGTACGATTCGAAAACAACCCAAATCAAAGGCGTTGCTGCTATTCTACAACTAGCAGTGCCTACTTGGAAAGCTGCACCCCATGCTCTTTCAGTTACCCTTTCGACCCCAGCTGGCTCCTTACTCAACCACCGCCCAACCCACAAAACAGCAGTCGTCCCAATCAAAGGGACCAACGAGATACTCCGTACATGACGGTCAGCAGGAGAGCGGAGAGGTCACAGCAGTACTGCAGCAAGAACATGTCTCGAAACATCGACAACCAGCCAACCCTGATCAAGTGTCGTGGCGCTTCATGGCCTTGCGGCAGCTGCAGCAGCAGCAGCTGGACGTTGTTCCAAAACGCGGACAGACCAAGAGCGACACCCGAGGGGGAACAGATTTTTTTCTAGACCCGTAGCAAGCAGGTGACGGACTGACCTGACAGAACCGCGGCCAGTGCTCCCAGCTCCCATCCGCTGATGGCTCCCCAGCAGCAACGAGGCGCTCCGTGGCGCTAAGGAGCCTGACGAGGTCAACGTGAATCTCGTGCGCAGACTGCATGTCCTGTATGGGAAGCCGGCGTCTGGTCTGGTCCGGTAGGTCAAGACAAGAAGAGATGTGGTTTGTCGCATGATGATGCGGAGGAACAGCAAGTAGGTGGGGTAGGTGTAGAGGGCTCGCGGACGCACACCTCGGGTTTGTAGGGGGGGGAGCTCCGCGAGTTCATTGTAACGGTCGTCAAGTCGTCAACTCCCACGCTGAAAGGTTATCGGTTGACGCATGTTGGCGCCCTTGGCAGAGGGGGCAAAGACAATCCCCATACAAAAACTAGCGCATATAGCAAGAGGGATGCCTTGACGGGGCGGTGTCAACCAAAATTTTCGTTCCAAGAGGAGATGTTATTGTTTCCAACGATCCTCATCCTTCGCGAGAGAAGGAGTGAATCAACCGACTCGAGCTTGCCGAGGATCAGGAAGAGCTACTAGGTTAGTAAAATAATCAGCAAAACGTGCAGTCAGCCGAGTTCTCGCACAACGCCGAAACCAGAGGATCTTCCATGGTTCAAGAAAGCCGCTCATTTTCATGAAAAACTTCAACAGTTCGCTTGGACGGGGGTATTGCGTCGCATGGATGTGGGTAGGCTGCTGCGTCGTGTTTGCATGTTTTTTTTTTTCTCACGAAAAATGAACTCTGACGAATCCCCACACGTGATTCCACGCCACACGCGATTCACGCCCAGCGAACAGATGGGCGGGCCTGCGTGACCCTGCTGTTCCCCGGAAGAAACAAAACCCGACGACACTCACCGCGGGTAGCGGACGACTCCAACCACTCAGAAAACAGAACCCCACGGTTTGACACATGTGGTACCGTCTCCGGTACGTGTGCAAGGCGTTGAGGCACGCCTGCTGTGAAGCGAGTCCTGGGGACTACGACAGCTGCAGCGACGACGACGGGAGCGTCCTTACCCGTGAAGATATCCGGCGCCCTAACTTGCAGAAGCTTGCCGAAGCTATCGCTACGTCCCAGCCCCCCTCTGCAAAACATGATGCCGGTCGGGGTGGACGCGAGACCGACGGGGGGATCGCGGTTCATGTTGCCGACCACGGTCCTCCGATGCAACGTGTTTTGAGCGAAGATAGCACATCCAGGGAGGGGGAGAGCAGTTTCATCCCCTCTCCGGGCACGGACGTCATCAGCACGGCGTCGCCGGCAACGTCAACTCCTGGTGTTGACGTAGTACTCGAGAAAAACGTGAGCGGGTTCAACATGCAATAAATATGAGCATACATGCCGTTGAATGTTTTCGTGCGCCTGCACCGACATCATGCGTATCAAGTTCCCCGGCTATCTTACAGCAAGCAGAGAGGAGGAGGAGGTACTGGGCATATGTAAATTAGACGCGTTTGCCATAAACGCCACCTCTACCGCAACAACAAGTCACCTACAGCAATGCTGCACATGGTTCCCGGATGCCCCCCACTCGTAGCTGCGCGCGCGACTTACGCATACATCCGCGTGGACGCCTAGATGTGCCCACGCTACACATCCCCCATAAATGGTGGACTTGTTTTCTCGAGCATTCCTCCACCCCCCTCCTTGCCAGCACTATTACGGCCAACAACCAGAGAACAAGACTCACCAACAAAAACACCTACGGCAAAACATCAGCATAACAACGACAGTAGTGTCAGAATAGCCCCAACCACAAGTACACCCCCGCCCCGCGCAGACTCCTTCTCCCGATACCGCAAGAGGCGGGAGCACCCCGGCTGGAGTGGCTACTCGCGCAAGGCCTAGCAGACTGCCTCCAAGGACAACAGCTAAGAAAAGGTGCGCCTTGACTGCTGTCGTGTTTGATTCGTCGATTTCGATGACGATTGGAAGCTGCCCGCCCATGACACACGAAGGTCGTTTTGGCAGTGTGCTTCATTGACCGCAGGGAAACTTGCGACCTCTCGTGGTTTGTATGTGTCGGACGAACCTCTAGTTGGTAAGATCCTTGGAGTGTGTTGCTAACGAAAGTGTGGAGCAGAGGGAGGGAGAGAGAGTGAGAGGTTTCAGGTGTTGCATCTTCGTTCTTTATTTTCACAGTATGAGGGTAGTCGCGTACGGTTGTCGTGATTTGTAGCCCCGTGTCTCCATGGGGTGTCATTCAAAAATGAAGATTCTGCGGAACGCCAACTGTCCGTCTGTGGCACAGTTCCCTTGGCGCTTTTTCCAACGCTCGTACCATCAGAGAGCATTTCGTTGGCAGTCTTGAGAAGGGCATTATTGTATTACTCTGGAAGACTCGAGGTGTGTTGCAGCGACGCGTTGGTTGACATAGATTCACACGAAGCACAAACTACGTCGTCACACGAAATCGAAAGGAATCATGCACTACTCGTGAAAGCGAACCAAGATAAGAGCAATCTAGCCCTTTCGTGCACACATGTGTGTGCTCTTTGTCACTTAAGCTACCGCGCCAGTCGGCTGATTGGTGAAAAAAATTCCAGTCTCAGCCGGTGTATGCCCGGTTTTTCACGTTCTCAGCCGCTGGACGGACGACGTGTTAGAAGGGTTCCTGTACTCGACGCTGGTGGACGGGAGCGGACTCGTCTTGGACAAGCTTGATTCCGACGGAAGCGGGAAGAAGAGCGGGGTGGGTGATTAGACTGAGGCCCTCATCCGCTGACTCTCGTAAATGTAGTATCTCTCTCTCTCCCTCTCCCCCTCTCTGTCTGTGTGTCTGTCTATCTGTCTGTCTGTCTGTCTCCGTCTATATTTNCCCCCCCCCCCCCCCCCCTCTCTCTCTCTCTCTCTCTCTCTCTCTCTCTTGCTCTCCCTCTCTCAAAACCAAACCTACACCACCCTGAATACCTGTTCGTTTACAAGAGCACGGCTCCCGACTGATGAGTGAAGCTCACAAAAACCTTCGATCCGACGTTGCGGCAAAAACGGCAGGAACGAATCTTGTCGTATGACCCGGACCAGATGCGGCTGAACTGGATATCGACCGGCCTGCGACGCAAAACGGGGAGTATGCTGGCCAAGGTGACTGAAGCAACTAGTAAGCGCGGTCGATTCGCGAGAATATATGCTGCCCTTCTAAGCACGAAGCCTGTTCGATTGTCTCCTTGTGCCCTTTGTTGGGATGGGTGTCTCCCCGCTCTCTTCAACAGCATAACACCAACACTCAACAAAATCAAACAACAACAGCGTTCCACAATTTTCATTCTGCTGCAGGACATTGGCGAGGTTACCTGCGAGGGCACGTCGGTGACAATAATTTACTCCGAGACCACCGCTACCCCGGCCCCCGGTCCGAGACGAAGCCTGTCCCCCTTTCGCCGCTTCTCTGCATCGTCGCCTGCCGGCCACGAGGGGGGGGGGGGGGGNGGGGGGGGGGGGGGGGAGGAAGCAGGCGTCGAAGCTCGGCCTAGATCGGCGGCGGAAGGTGTATTCCACCTCGCAGGAGCGGGACGCCCAGATCCTGAAGGAGCTGCTGCTGTTCGTGCGTCGGCAGGCAATCTCCAATTTCGCGGCGGCGGTGTCTAGGCTAGCGGCGGCCGCTAATTCTCCCGCTGCTTCCACCACCGGCGTGGATTCCGCAATTTGCCTCGTTGCCGAAAACGGGGGAAACAGTAATCTTATCGATACCGCTATCTTTGGCAATGAGCGTGGGCGCGGAGGTCGGGAGCCGGCGGGGAGCAATGTGACGCCAATCACTGGGGTGTTCACGAAGAGTAAAGGGAGGCGAAGGTCGGTCAAGTGAATCAAGTGTGTGTGTATAGCAGCCAGAGCCGCACGAAGAGAACTAACAATGGTGTGGTATGGAAGGAGTTATGTTGTACCGTGCACGTACGAAGCGTTGGTATCGAGCCGGCCCAACGCGCGGGGTAGAAAATATAGGATCGATGACCAACCTGGTACCGGTTCGTGTTGATTTTTGAATGGGTGGGTTTGCGTGATTTCACCACACGATACAGTCGACCCCGCGTTAAGGACGCCCATGGTTTTTCCTGAAAAAAACGTCCTTAAAGCGGGGTTGCGTCCTTAAAATTCTGGGGACGATAGCTCACCATCCCCGGGGCCAATGGAGGCATGCTATAATACCTCAAACTATGCGTCATTTGCTAAGGAAGGGGGTGGTACGAAAAGTCAGCATCGCCGAGACGACTGGCAACCGTTTGTTGACGTCGAACATACTTGAAACGAGATGTGCAGCAGTCGGGGACGTGTTGAAAACAACTACAGGACACCAGTTTGTACTTGGGCAACAAATGTACTGCATAGCCGGCAGCGGAAGAAGGAGGACGTCCAAGACATATATTTATCTCATTCTTGTGAAACAAAAAAAAACGAGCGTATTTCAGCGTCGCACCGAGGAACACCAGTACATATCACTGTGGTCCCGGCCGAGACCAAAAGCTACCCTGATGGTTTTTCCTTCCACATGTCGCGAGGAGTTCCCTGAACCTCCCCCCGCGGCTTGGCTCTACGGCTCTGTTGAGTTTCATGAGTAAACGAATGAACGTTCTTCGAAAGAACGTACTACTGCGTCTCACGGTACTCGCCACCCCTTCCCTTCGCGTACAAATACAGATAGCGCCCGCAGTTAACCCTTCCGTGACTACACGCCCGAATCGTGCATGCCAGCATGCACGATAACTCATATATGCGACAATTTTCGAACCGAATTGAGCTGCGGGTACGCTGTGGGTACCTGCATCGACGACGGCTCGACGGTACGACTAGACCGCTCGAAAAGAAACATGGTAACGAGCGGGGACAGCAACAGCACGTCCCCTACACAGAAAATTGAAAGCCTGGGAGTTGCAATGCTCCGCAGCACCCTGCATCCCGCGCTGCTGTGGACCTCGAGTCCAGCACGCAGAAACGCGATCATGAGGCCGTTTTTCCTCCTGCTTGTTGAGATTTTTCGCACGAGCGCTATGGACACCCCTGCTGTGGAATCGGACTACATCCCTGCGTCGCACGTTGGCAAGGGACAGGAGCTAGCTCCCCAGCCGGCTGCGTTGGGCCGGAGGGTACAGCAGCACATCGATGGACCTGCGTCGCGCATTGTTTGCAGCACAGAATTGACAAGAGGTGGGAGGGTTATGGCCTTGCCCGACCGTGCTGGTGTGTATGCCGTAGACCCGGATGGCCACTGCGGGTGGAAGACGATGTCCGCGGGTCTGCAGGTTTGCCTCGGTAGAACAAGGGCCGTTCCCAGCCCGGAGAACATGAGGAGCGTGGTCACCCGTCGAGCCACGGAACATGTTGTTGGCGCATCCGATGTTGAGGACTTGACAGCGGTACTCTCACGAGACCAGCTTGGTCGGGCCCGGAGTGTGCGCATGCCGGATGTTTTAGGGGCTGCCGTGGAAGAAATGCGGCGGATAAGACGGTCGGTTGGTTTTGGGAGAAAGCCACTCTAAGTGCGGAAAAATGGATCGACGTAACCTGGTTTTCTTTCCTGGCGTCGGTGTACGGGGTGAACATCATGTTGTGGGAGCCAAGCCCCGAGCACGGCACAGTTCAGCCTTACTCAGCAGGCAACACGGCAGGCATGTTCTTGTTCGAGAAAAAGACAAAATGGACGAGGAGGGGGATCGGTGGGTGCATCTGCTCTATCGGAAATACGACGATCCGTGGGCAGCGCGCCTGGGTGTAGGTGAAGAAGGCCATAAACGGCACGACCACTTCGACCGTCTGCAGCTTGGACTCAACGTAGATGCTTCCTTCATCGAAGACGTCACATTAGCAAAGGAGAAAGATCTAGGAATGGTGGCGCCGGTGCCGTCGGCGAGTGCCACGGCCGGGAAGAAAGCGCCAGGGTCCACAAAGGTGGGCGGAGAAGAGGAGGACGATCACGAGTTCAGGATGAGACCAAGCGGCAGCAACAGCAACAACAGCAGCAGCAGCAGCCGGCAAGCGGAGGGAAAGGCTGGAGCGGGAAAGAAAAGCAAGGCGAAGATCGGGAGTAAGGTCGGGGTGAAGCGACCAACCGAGAGGCAGCCAGCGGAGAGCAAGGGGCACAAGGCGGGGGGTGCACCAGGGAAGCAGCGCAGTTGGTTGGTGCGCCGGGGAAGCGCAAGGCGGGGGGGTCACCAGGGGAGGGGAGAGGTGCCGAAAAGAAAGGCAAGGGTACGCCGACGGGTAGGAGGAAATCGTTGAAGAACAACGGTCAAGTAGACGAAGCCAACTATAATTCCGACGGCAGCATCGGGGGGGGGGACCACGAGCGACCCCAGGGCTCCTTCGCTACCATGTCGCAGAACGAGAAGGAGGTGGTGGCCGCCATGAAGAAGATCCCGGAGCTGGAATACAGGCGGGCGTACTTGCTGAGCATCAAGAGGAGGGCGCGGGGTCTGAAGGTGGGTTTGTGTTCGTGTAGACTTTTTCTCTTGGAATTGTCCGGGCGAACAGGCGGATCAAAGAGAAGACGATGATTTATGGTGGTGCTAAAGTTGAGTCAAGTAAATAGTGCGAATCGATGCTGTAGCAGTATCTTAACGGAGTTTTTTTCGCTTGGGATACCGAGTAGCGAGTGCCCTATCCACACTGAATAAAGGCGCGTCTAGGTAGGCACTTTGTTTCGGCTCGTGTGGTCGCTTGTCTCTAATAAGATGTATCTTAAAAGCGTTGGTTAATTAGCACCTGGTTGCTTGCATGATCATGTTGCCGCCTCCGTGCCTGGCTGCTGTTGCTCAACACGGGCATGGTTTTCAATGTCGGCAGGGGGGCAACAAATATCGAGTTCACGATTCGGAGTATGTAAATGCATGTGCGTGACCTGCCTACCCTGCTGGCCCTGTATGGTGTTACCCTTGATCGCCGTGTCAATTTCACGTGAATCTCTCGCACCCTCGATTCGTAGGTGTTGGTGACACCGTCGCCTCGTACGACTGTTTTTTTTATTTTTCGGATGATTGAACACAACACGGCAGGGGATAAATTGACACACCTGCCGCTCTGTTTCAGCTGTTTGTCGATGACGTGCTCAACCCAGCTCAAGGCCATACGCGACAGGGAGAAGGAGGGGCTCAAGAATGCGGCAGAAAAGTAAAAAAATACCAGCATCGGCCGCGGCAGGAAGTGGAGAAGGAGGAGCGACAAGAGAGAGAGGAGCTAGAGAAGCAGCAGCAGCAGGAGCAGGAGGAGTTGAACGCTAAGGCGGAGGAGGACCCGGCGGTGGCGTGGACTGACCGCCGCGGCATTCCTGACTTTGCGGGAACGGCGGACCACAAGAAAAGAACCCAGCGGTCGACGGTCAGCGCTGCTTCGCTGTCGGCATCCGCGCGCTCGAAGTTACCCTCTCTCGATACCTTCATTGACGGCCTCGACGAGAACGGAGAGTTCCCGCTGAGTGGTTTGATGAAGACGTGCTTCAGCATGATGTTCCCCGAGAGGGCAGTTGATATTTTCGTGCAAAACGTGAGCATTGGTGTTTTCATGTAGTCGCATTCCTTATTTAGTTGTATTCGAACAAGTCATTAGGGGGGTTGCACGCAAGTAAAAAACCGAGCCGTTATGCGTCGGACTTGAAAGTAGTTCCGCGGGGAGAGGGGGGGGGGGGGGGGGGGGGGGGGGGGGTGTACTCATAGTCGTGCATGCCGTAGTCGNGGGGGGGGGGGGGGGGGGGGGGGGGGGGGGGGGGGGGGGGGGATGAATTGTATGCCCTTTGTTTGTGTTTACACTGCATGATGTGGTCTGCATGCCTTGGCCGCCTAATCATACTGCCCGAATGTAGATCAAATCTCATCAAGATTGTCAAACACACGGGGGTATATGCGGTGTTCATGCATACTTCGCTCCTGACGTGCTACGTACCAGCGTATCGTGCATGGGGATGTCAAACACACGGGGGTATATGCGGTGTTCATGCATACTTCGCTCCTGACGTGCTACGTACCAGCGTATCGTGCATGGGGCGGTTTGCGAGGGCGGATGCAAGCTCGCGAAATGTACTCCCTGCAGAAAAGCACCCTCCCCCCACCTCTCAAGCGCGGGGGACCCCTGTTATGTATGCTGGAAGTTGATTACCGATATCCACCCGACCAACCCAACAATTGAAAGCGGGTACTAGGTAGTTGCCTGAGGACACAGTCTGTTGTGGGCCCTTGCGCTATTGCTTGCGTTCCAAGACACCCGCGGAAGGCGTATGCAGATTTGGTGAGAATCGAACATGTCCGTGCTGCCACGGCTTGCATCAGCACTAATCATTGTGTATATTCGACACCTCGGCGCGACCTCTAGGGCGAATACTATGCTAATGTTTGCTTCGTCTTGTTGTCACTGACCTCTTCCGCCCGAAACGTGATACTTTTCCAGACCAACAAGTACGTGAACCTTTGCAGCACACCACCACCCCCCGGAGGTACGGACAAGCGTAAGGAGCATCAGATGAAGAAGTCGAGAACTCTCGGCAGGGTCACCCTGCCGGAACCCGCATTCGAGCGCAAGCACATCCACGGCATGCTTGGCATCACGATCACGATGGGGCTCACGAAGAAAACGCGCATGAGGAAGCACTAGAGTAGATCGTTGCACGACGACTATCCTCTAGTGAGGGCGTGCATATCGCGCGACTTGTTCGAGCTGTTGTTCTGCCGTTTCATCCACTGCTCGAACGGCAACGCTCGTCCTCGATTGTTGGACGAGGACAACACCCCGAACCCAGACTTCGATTCGAAGTGGCACATCAGGCGAGTTTTACCAGTCGGAGACTTCAGGCGTTCTGACTCTTGGACCACGCTTCCCCTTCTTTTCATGTGGTGAAAAAAACGGCCTCCAAGCCGGCGAGTACCCTAGAACCCATATCCAAAAGGCTTCATGTCGTTGAACAAGTAGATGTCGTTGCCCTACACCACCCGCCCTCCCCGTAGAATACTACACGTGACCACTAACGTACGGTTGGGATGATCATAGCTGCGGATTAGCCTGGTTGATGTGTAATCAATAGGTGGGCATTCGTATGTCCATTCGTGTCCTACGAATGTTCTACAACAGATTAACCAACGCCACACCTCCGTGCAAATCCTGACGTCGCTTCCCCGGCAGAGAGCTCGAAGACATCTTGGACACAGCGTTAACGGAAAACATGGACTTCAACCAGTGGCTGTGCTACGACGAGCAGATGGTGAAGACTGTGTCGAGGTACGCGCACTTCCTCATGAGACACCAGCCCAAGAAGCCCATCACCCACGGTACGCGGTTTGTGTTTCGGATGCAGGAACAAAGCTTAAGGTCAAATTCAGGACCGGGGACATATGCCTTCGAGAACGTCGACGAAGACATAGGACGGTAGACGAGGAAGACGACGAGTTCAAATGTGATTGCGGCTTCGAATGCGAAGACCGTGTTCATGTAGTCGCGGAATGTCCGTTGTACAAGGAGAGGGAAGTGTACGTGACGGAGGTGGGAAAAAGAGATAGGACGTACAGGGAGGTGTTTGAGGCATGGAATAGAGAGGAAAGGACGGTAGCTGTAGTGGGGCATAGGAGGTGGGTTGAAAAGGCGGGAAGAGATATCGTTAGGATAGACTGCCAAAGGTCTTCCCTAGTCCAAGTAGAAAGGAACGATTGGCCATCGGTAATCGGTCCTGTGGGAACAAT